GTGTATGTGGCTGTACAAAGGAGAAGGTCACATAGTGTGTGTACATTGTACTGCTGCACTACGGTGCCAGAGGAATGATCTTCGACATAAAGGAGATTGCGGACAGTTTGATGTGGCAAGAGAACAGCATCATAGAGTAAGAAATCAGTAATATCAATCATGGCATGGACCATGACACCGTCGTTCCACACCTCCCAATGGTCAGAGGCGTGTACAACAGCCATGTAATGGCCAGACCCGTGCACAATGCAGGCAGAGATGTGGGATGGAGGATTAAACAACTCACCTGGTAGAGCATGGCGTAGTTCAAGCTGGCGGTTCCTCATCGCTATTTCTAGGACAGCAATGGTAAAACCTCCTTCCCTGGTGTAATTACGACGCTCTGGCTGTAGGTCGTGGGGATCAACGAGATTAGCGAGATCAACATCAAGCTGTAGGGCAATTGCAAGGAAATCTGATGGTGTATACAACAACCGATTGAAAATGTGAAGGCAGCTATTAGTTGCAATCAGACCACAGAGATTGGCGGGGATCTCAGGCAGGTTTGGTTGGTCAGTCATTTGTAGATCACCCGTGGGGTCTGCGCAGGGTGGAGCACAAGTATGAGGTTCATCCATATGATCCTGGTCAGCCATTTGCAAATCCCTCGTGGGGTCTGCGCCATGTGGGATTAAATGCAGTCCAAGCAGATCATGTTCCAGTCCCTCAACGTTCGGGGCCACACAGGGTGGGGCACAAGTATGCGGCTCATCCATATGATCCTGGTTAGCCATTTGCAAATCCTCCGTGTGGTCTATGCCTTGCGGGGTTGAATGCAGTCCGAGTTGATCATGTTCCAGGCCCTTAGTGTTCGGGGCCGCATGTTGTACAACTGGGGGACAAACGAACATGGAAGGGCATAAAACATGGTTGTATATATCGTCACAAACAGAACTGTCCAGTAAACCGTAGGCAGAGAGAAAGAAGAGGACAACAAACGAGGGGCTGTGACAAACTGTATATATATCGTCAAACAGAAATGCCCGGTAAACCGTAGGCAGAGAGGGAGAAGAGGACAACAAACGAGGGGCTGTGACAAACTGTTTCGTCGGATATATATATATATATATAAGTCGGTGAAACTCCGACGAAACAGTTTGTCACAACCCCTCGTTTGTTGTCCTCTTCTCTCTCTCTGCCTACGGTTTGCCGGACAGTTCTGTTTGTGACAATATATATATATATATATATATATATATGTGTGTGTGTGTGTGTGTTTTGCTGGTGTGTGATGGGGTGTGAACCGACAACCTGTAGAGTTTTCCATCTGGTGTGGGTGAGTGATAGTCTGCTTTGATTTTCGTCACAGGTACCTTGAGGGCAGTGGTTGGGTCCCACCTCAGGGTATCAGTTGTCGGGCAGTCGTTGATGCTTAACCACAACCGGGTTAAGGTGGATTATCACTTACCGTGTAATCAGTGAGGGGAGTCTGCAGACTGTTGAGGGTTCAGCCTCCTGATGAGTCAGTAGGTGAAACTCGGACGAACAGTTTGTCACAACCCCTCGTTTGTTGTCCTCTTCTCCCTCTCTGCCTACGGTTTACCGGGCAGTTCTGTTTGTGACGATATATATATCGTTGAGTTGGCTCATCATCAGTGTTATATTCCGATTGTGATCTTCGCAGTTGTCATCTTGTGATTGGTTGTTGCGAGTTTGTCAGAGAGAGAGAAACACTGTGTATTCTCCCCGTCTATGCATGGTTAATATTCCGCTGTTTATCTCTGGTCTGTGTGCAGTGTGGACTCTGTCTCTCCTCCCCTTTATCTTGTGCATGTATGGGCATGTGTGAGGTACTTTGTGTGTGAGTGGCAAGAAAATTGTCAGACAACCAAGTTCATAACATATATATATATATATATACAGGGTTACCTGACCGAACGTTCGGGGGGGCCCGGGCTGGCCCCCGAACGTTCGGGCGTTCGGGGTCCCGTTCGGGGGCCGAACACCTCCAGGTTCGGCCCCCGCCAAAAAAACATTTCGGGGCCTAAAAATAACTTTTTTTTTCTGAATTGTTTTTTTGTGAGTTCTCTATGATGTAACCTACACGCCTATAAATTTCGAAGCCATTCTGCTAAGCCAAAAAAACATTAAAAATCGTCAAAATGGGGGATTCAAAACGTGCTCGCCCACTCACTATTTTTTCTTTTTTCACTTTTAACTTTTTGTTTTCACTTTATTTCGGGGCTAAACAATTTTATTATTTTTTGAAAATTTTTTAATGAGTTATTGATTATGTAAAATACATATCTGTAAATTTTCAGGGCATTTGTCAATGCCAAAAAATAATTAAAAATCGGCACAGATCGCGGTGTCGAAAAGGTGCTGGCACACTCACTCATTTTAATTCTCTTTCTATTTTTTCTTATTTTTATGATTTTACCATAGTGTTTATTTTCTGTATTTGATTTTTAATTCAAATTTGGTAAAGAATTTGGATGTACTGCCCAGGCAAATGTTGTTTAGTTTATTT